GCATCCATGTGCAACACCTAGGAACCACCCCCCCCCGCCACCCCCCCCCCCCCGGCTTAAGCCCAGCTCCAACTACTGCAACTGTTTGGGAAGTGAACCAATGACTAAAAGGGCTCTGTCCTTCCTGCTGTCTCTACATCTGCCTTTCAAATAAATTAATAAATTTTTAAAAAACATAGTGTAGTTAAAGGGAATATTGTGGCACAGCACACTAAGCCCACACCTGGGTTGCCTGCATCCCATATCCCAGTGCCAGTTGAAGTCTCAGCTGTCCGGTGCTTTCAGCTTTCAGCTAAGGAGCCTGGGAGGCAGTAGCTGATGGCCTGTTGACTTGGTCCCCTGCCACCCACATGAGAGGATGGAGTTCCTGACTGTTAGCTTCAGCCTGGCATTGCCCTGGAGTGAGAGGCATTCAAGCAATGAACCAATGAATGGACAGTCTCTCTCTGCAGTCCTCCATCCCTGCTTTCTTCCTTTCAAAAAAAATAAAAATCTATGAATAATAGTTCTTGAAAAGTAAGTATAGCAGTGGGTCAAGCCACTGTTTGAGATGGTGACATCCCTTATGGGCACCATATTAAGTTCCTATTTCTCTGCCTCACATGCTAATGAGCCTGTGAAAGCAGTGAAAGATGGCCAAGTAATTGGGTCCCTGATCCCCACATGGGAGACCTGGATGGAGTTCCTGACTCCTGGCTTTGGGACTGGCCCAACCACAGTCATTACTGTCATTTGAGGAGTGAAACAGCAGATGATAGATCTCTCTGTAACTCTGCCTTTCAAGTAAATAAATAATAAATCTCCTTTTTTAAAAAAAAGCATAGTAACAACATAAACTATTAACAGTGTTTTATTATCATTTGCAAGTATTATATACTGGCCATACTTATATGTACTGTCTTCTTATACAAGTGACATGTAAGCAACTCTAATCTAAATGAAGATGACGCCTTAGTAATTACTGAGTGTTACAGTAATATCAGCATAGCAGTTAAGACATAAGATGCCAATAACCCAAATCTGAGTGCATGGATTTAAATCCATTTCAACTCCTGGTTCCTGCTAAGGAAAGCTCTGAGAGGCAGCAGTGATGGTTTCAGTAATTGGTTGTTGGGGAGACCTGGATTGAGTTCCCAGCCCCTGGCTTTGTCCCTGCCCAGCGCAGCCATCGAGGGAAGTGGGAGAGAGCCAGCAGATGGGAACCCATGGGCTTACTTGCCTTCTATTTCTACCTCTCATGTATGATTTTCAATCAAGGAAATAATCACCAAAAAATATAAGTACTTTAAATCTTTGTGGTGTAAAAGGAAAGCAAAGAGCACTCTGTGTATGTGTGTGTGTGTGTCTGTGTGAGAGAGAGAGAGAGAGAAAGAATAGGATGGAAAGATACATGAGTGCATCAATTCACCTTACAGAATATGAAAGCAGCGTTATTGTCAGAGAGAGAAAAGATAAAATGAGTTTAAAGTTACAAATCCTGGAGACACTGATAGTAATATAGACCTAATGGAAAGTCTAAGAGGAAGGGAAGGGACAGTATATGAAATACTTTATTATTTTTTATATCAGAAGCAACTAGGCACTGTATAAAGTTTGTACATATACAAAGAAACCCCACAACTATGTCCTTTAGACATAATCACTGGACCCTAATGGAGTTAAAAGCAAAAGCAACAAAATCATTACCATTTCCCTGGTGTATTTTTTTTTAACCACGAACATGAATTACTTTTAAGGTAATCAGAAGGCTATAGTGTGGCAAAATTTTCCTCTGCAAGAGAATTCAGTGTAATACTTGCCTATTATCCTTCTCTCTCAAGCTTCTGCTTTAACCTGCATTACAGCACTTTTTGTGCATCTTGCAGCACTGCGGCTAATTTACCTGTCTGAAGGACAAGGGTTACATACCTTTATGCTTGCCACACAGAGATGCTGGCCTCTGGGTCCTCAGTGCATACACTGGAGCAGGAACTACGCTGTTGCAGTTTATTCACGTGGCCTATCAGAGCCATCTAATGGTTTCCTCCCTGCAACTGTATATCCGGTCTCAGAGCTGAGGGCACTCGAACCTCTTCTCACTGCAGCATGAGATTTTGTGTTAGTGACGGATCATCAAAACCCAAGACCAAAGTTATACTGAAAATATTAGAGGATACTTAGGAAAATGACTGGAAAAGACTCATTTTGGTGCCAAAAGGATGGAAATTAGTGGTTTTCAAAAATTAATAAAGCTTCATATTAGAAAAAAGATAATGCATGGATTCCAGCAATTTTGCACTACACTGTACTGACCCTTTTCCATTCCCCACGAACATTTGAAATACCCTCATGTGCGTAGTATACATGAGGGTATATGCATTTCCATCTGTGCATATGTGTTCACAGACAGTGCCTTCCTCTGGCCTATGTTTCCCCTCTTCCTGTGGGTGTTCCTGTGCAGAGACCAGTCCATTATGGAAACAGATCATGCATATGATGGATCCAGCCAGGGCTCTGTAGAGTGCAGAGTAACATCTCTTGAGTATGCTGTTAACAACAACAAAAAAAATCTCTTACTGAGAATATTCTTGCTAATATACATCATTTTCCCTTGGGTCTTAAGAACCTGTGACTCTCAGTAGCTGATGCATTTAAACATTTCAAGTGAACCTCAGAAATTGCATCACCCAAAAATTTCAAAATATGGGGGAAAGCATTTTATTCTTTCGGAAGAACAAAAAACATCTTAACCTCGGTCTCACTTCCCAAACTTGTCCCCAGAAAGATTGACTCGCTATCAGCACCACTGTCGGGAATGCTCACTGCGGACGGTTTGTTCGTGTCCTCTTTGGCCCCGTGGTGTCTTTCCCATGTGCCAGAAACCTGCTCTGTTTTCCCCGTTGCCACAACATGAGTGCTACCAAGAGCAAGGACGATCAGCCACAGCTCTGTGCCTGCGCTGAGACCGACACGTGCCTCCCACACCCCCCAGGTCCCATGTGCAGTAAATCCTGGGTCCTCTCCACCTGCGGGTTATTTGGCAGCGTTTTTGGTCAAGGTAAAACCTATTTCCTCAGGCGTCCAAGCAAGGCATTCATTTCTAGTATTGACTTCCTGTGTTCTGGTGTAAGTGGCTTGGAAGTGTTTACTTGTTGCCTGCGCATGCTTAGCTGACTGTTCTGTTTTACGTTCTTGATTAGGATGGTGTGTGGCACAGCTATGAGCAGATTGAAATGGGGAAAGGTAACCCATGTCTCTAAATTAAAGGAGAAAAATTAGATGTCTGTTCAGTTTTGTCTTCCCTAATGCAGGTGTGATGCTCAGTGGAAAAATGATTCTGGAAAGGACTAAATTAGGTTATTTTCCAGCAGGGAATCCAGTGAACCAAGCCTGCAAGGCCTCCGAAATGACTACACCGCAGGAAGACAAAATGCAAACAATCTTCACAAATTTGATGGGAAAATATGTATTATGAACAAAACATACGTGGCTTTCATACCTTTTTGGCACCAAAATAAGCTAATCTTTTGATTCCATTTGCCATGAACATTTTTTTAAAATATGAGAATAAGCGCTTTAGAGCAAGTTTGTTAGCTTGTTGCTTTTGCTTTCTCATGCTTTCCTGTCTATTGGGGTCCAGGCTAACCAGTGTTTATCATCAAGGCAGTTTCAGTAAGTTTGAATGGCATTCTTATTTTTTGCTCTAAACTCACAGGATGTTTGACCAAGTGGCTGTCTCCTGTCATGGTTCTGGCAGATTTATGTCCTAAGGAGAGAGATGTCCTCTTAGTGGAGAAGAAAAGATGCAGTTTGCTCTTGATTTCATTGGGCAGCATCTTTGGGGGATGTTCACCCTGACACTTAGGGAGTCACACCTGAAACTTGGTGACCACAGTTAATATCAACAGCTGGTGAAAGGTCAAAAGACTTGAGAATTGTAGATGTCTAGAACTGGGCTGTAAGTACCCAGCCAAAAAGGTTCCTACCACCAGGCCTGTTATGTGCCCCGCACAGCCTTCTCTGTGGTTTAGGTAATGATTAGCGCTATGCAACCATTACCTGCTAGGAGTAGCATACCTCTTTCCCCATCCCTAAGCTTCAACAAAATGATAAGAAGCTCTTTCCAAAACCTGGAGCAGCTCCTTTGATGGAGAAGCAGGTAGTGCCCAAATCGGAGTGGAGTCTAGTGTGGGTGGGCTTCCTAAGAGTTCCCTGGCACCTCCACGTGGAGCTTAACTTCCACATGGCCACCAGGGCATCTCTTCCCTCCTGGTCCTCGATGAAACATTTGGATCATGGGAAACAGGGCAAATCAGATAGACGGACAGGTAAGGGAGTAAAGTTACAGTGCAGGGATAGAGGCGGAAATTATTAGGAATGTCTTCCAGCTTGTTTGTTCTAACCTAATCTTTCTCCCTAGTTCCCCTCCACCAAGATGATCAGGAAGGATTTCTGGTTTACATCTTTCTCTACTTCAAGGCAGGGATCCCAAAACCTGCTGCCAGGGCTCCGCATGTAGTTGTTGGACAATTTTAGGACCTGTGTTACAATTTCAGGGCTGAGTAAAATTCCGTTACCTGAGTTCCGATGCAGCCTGACCTAGGGCCACCTGTGTTAGCAGAAGGAATCCACGTTCCAAGTACCTTGGCTGTAGCATGTAAATGCTGTAGCATGTGAATACATTTATTTCCTTCAGTGTTCTTAAAATGAAGTGGAAGGAACGAGGCGCCATCTGTGAGATACTCATGTGCTGTCAGGGTCTCAGGTTTGTTTGCAAATAGGTCCTTAAGTACCTGTTGAGAGATCTGTGTCTGGGCCGCCTTGGCCGTTGTATTGCAAAGAAATTATTTTGCCAACCTGATTCTCAGACAACCAAATATGTTGTAAAAGCCTCCCGCTGCACACTCTTGAAAGATTGTTAATAGGAGCATGGAACTATATTTAATCTCTCTTAAATCATAAAGACTGTAAGACTCAAAGACTCACACGGCCGTATTTTTTTTTTCTGCTTCGTTTTGAAGAGAAAGGTGGTGCGGAGCCAGAGAGCCCAGACAATGGCACGTCCAACACATCGTAAGTCTCTTTGTGTTCCCTTCAGTGGTACCTGTTCTTTGCAATGCCTTAAGAAATTGAAACAACCCAAATACCTGGCAATGATGGAAAGAAGCCCTGCTCTCTTTTCTCATGATAATGTAGTTTCCAATGCTTCGGCTGTATTGATGCCTTCTGAGGTTTTTTTGTTTTTATTTTTAATGATTTAGCATCCTAAGAAGAATCAAATGCTGCTGTTCAAGAAATAGGAATGTTACTGAGACATGAGGATGTGTGTTAGAGGTCTTAAAGGGGGTGCCCTTTAGGAGACTTGGCACTGTCCTAAGAACTTGTCACACACAGTGGAGACATTCTGTGCCACTTGACATGCCTTGCATTTGCAACCTCAATCTTTTGTTGAGGCAGGTCTGATTATCTCTGGAAGCACTTGTGCAAGTTTTTGAATGAAACAGCCATTAAGAAGAGGTTCTTATAAAAACATATGGTCATTCCTCATTTTTTTCTTTTACCTCTCAATGTTAAAGAAGTTGAAATAATGCTTTTAGTAATTAATTTGACGGCAGATTAACATGTCAACATTTAAAATTCCCAAGATAGCAGATGAATTTGTTTTAACATCACCGGAGTCAGTAGCAGGGCTGCTTCTTAAAGCTCTTTGTGTGTGCCGTTTCTGAGGAGTGAGATACATTTCCTTGGTTTTGTGAATTGATTCTGATGCAGGTGATTGCTGCTCTAAGAATTTCAAGTCCCGTTCCTTAGGAATCCTATTTTGTGGTGCAACAGCGGTCGTCTCATATTGCCTGAGATTTATTTCTTTTTCTGAAGTTCTTATAAGGTGAACGATTTCATCTGTTTCATACCTACAGGGTGTGCCCCTCCTCTAGGTTGTGCTCCCACGCTCTATCCTTTCTTCTTCTGTCTTCTTCTTCCTCTTCTTTGTTGCTGTGCTGTACTTCCAGCTTAGGATAACAGTCTTAATCCTCCACTAAGTGTTGAGTTCAACGAATGTTAGGGGGAAAAAAAAAGCACTGTTCCTCTGAGTACAGACTGGTGTGTTAAACATTAGTCAAATCTCAAAATAGAGATATTTTGATATTTGTTTGTTTATGTGTTACCTAATTCTAACCAATGAGATTTTGAGATTTGTTTCTTGATCTGGAAAGACTCTTGGGCTTGCACAGGATAACTGTATTTAATAAGAGATGTGTTTGTGTGTTTGATTTTCTTAACATCCTGAAAGTTCTAAATAGTTATGTTTTTATGATTTCTGTTACTATAATGAATATGACTGGTCTCGAATGGTCAAAATAATAATAATTTTGAATATTTATGCTACGGAGTACAATGGAAATAAGGCTGTAATGCCATCTGGAGGCATTCTAGAGAACTGGAAAGTGTAGAATCACTTAAAAATCCAGTTCTTTTCAGTAATGTTGGTACTGGCAATGAAGGTTGTCCCATACCCAAGTCCTTAACTATGAGAAGAAATTCAGAAGTGAGTTGGAAAGTAGAAAATATTAAACAATAATCATGTACCTGAGAAACGAAAGACATACATGCCAAAGACAGAGTGGGGCTTACTTAGAGTGGCCCCATGTCTCAACTGTGTTTAATATTATATGGATCATTTAATCGAAGGGGAGATATATTTTAATAAAAGTGTGTTACTTTCTAATAACGGGGAAGAATATTCATGGTTGTTCTGGGAAGCAGGTGGAGAGTTCCCAGAATCTAACTACTACCCAGTTTCACTCCTTGAATGCTTCCGTGTTTCCTTGTCATGGAGGCTGCTGGGTGTGTCACTTAATGTGCTCATGTATTAAAATTGGCACATAATGAGTTTGAAAGTGGTTTTAGGAGCTGTCCTTACTTTCAGAAGAAATAGGTAATGGGCTTACCCAGTTCTTGGAAGTTTCCTGGCTTAGTTTTTCTAGAGTTGACATTAAGAACCAATTTGCCTTTTCTGCTTTCCTGGAGATATGGCCTCCAGGAAGAATGTAGCCTGTGAGTAATTCTGTAGAGTCATCTTAGCAGTGAAGGAAGGGTCATTGGCATTGTGGAGGATGAGTGGTAACCAAAATATAGTTTAATAAGAACATAGCTGCTTCTGTTGCCTTTTCTGTTGGAGTGGGGAAGGCCCCATGAACTATCAATGGAGACCAAGAGGGGCTTTGAACCTCCAGCAGAGAGCATTTGAGTACAGGCTACTTGTACTCTGGATAAGTACTCTGGTGTTGAATGGGTTCCTTGAGATGAGGAGGAATTGGATGGTAACCTGGGTCCTGATGGAAGCAGTTCACAAGTCCTTATTACTTCTTGGGTGACTTGGAAGGCCCTTTCCCCTTAACAGCCCTGTCACTAGTCACAGGCTCTCTTCCCAAGGAGCACTTCCCATTGTTCTGCTCCAGAAGGAAAGATCCTGTCATTCTGTTTTAACCATGCGCTAACTTCCATCTATGCACCTCTTTATTTGCCCAAGTCTCCTGAAGAATACTGGGGACTATAAAGGTATATTCCCTGGAGCAAGGATCAGTATGGCCCAAGGCTTAGTGTCCTGGAAGGCTGTAGTCTTGTGATCTGACTGTCCCCTTCCATTTGATCATGTGAGGAGCAGAGCGACACAGGGAGGGAGAAACACAGAAAAAGACACACCGTCCATCCACTGGCTTGCTTCCCCAAATGGCCACAATAGCCGTGGCTGGACCATGCTGAAGCCAGGAACCTAGAGCACCATTTCAGAACCCTCAGGTAGGTGGCGGGGGCCCAACTCTTTGCACCAGCATCTGCTGTCTTCTTAGGAACATGAGCAAAAACATCTTTGCATGCAGAGTATCTGGGATTCAAACCAACACTGCAGCATGGGATGGCAACATTACAAGCAGCTGCTTAACCCACTGTTTCACAAAGCTGGCCCCAGCAGTTATCTTCCTGTCCTCGAGCATCAGTGCTGCTTGTAATGTGATAGTTAATCGGGGAACTCTTTGCACTTAGTAGGCCTCTTTTCAAATAGCTGCACAGGCAAATAAAATTGGGAAAGAATATTTGAAATACACACATACACACAGTCTCAACCCTTTCCACAGTTGTAGGACCCAAATAAGAACAGAGATTTTGGCTAGCAGAGTTGCAGTCTCTGTAACCTCCTGTAGGCTTCCATCAGAGACCATTTAGCCTTAGAATCCAGAAATGGCTCATCTTTTAGACCAAGTTTGATAGAGTGTTCCATATTTTCTGTGCTAGAGGATATTAGTTCTCTTTCATCCGCGTCAGGCTAATGGGAGGCCAGGTTTAAGATATAGCAGATTTTAAGCATAATCTCAGAATAGTGTTAGGCGGCATATCTTGAACTGACCTCTAGCTAATCATGAATGATCGTTAGCCTTGATGAGGGTTTGACCTCAACTTAACTATTATGGCTGTTGCCACTGTAGGCCATAGTCATTCTAACCATCCTGCCACCCCAGGGTTCAGTTGTCTAGAGAAATAGGCCACTGGCCAAGGCATCTAGCCCAGTTTCTGAGAAAGAACACCGAAGGTATATCCCATTCTTTCCACCACAGCAGAGTGAAATGGCTTTTCTAAGTTGAGAGCTAGAACAGGGGCTGTGTTTAGTTTTCTTTAAGTTTCCAGAATGTCACCCAATGGAGTTTTCCAGTCCATTTGACGGGTTCCTGTATGAGTTATTCGAGGCTCCCATGTTAGTCCTTTGCTTGGAGTCTAGATCCAGGCATCAAAATTTGTCTTTTCTTTTTGAGATTTATTTATTTTTCTTGGAAAGGCAGATCCACAGCGAGAAAGATCCTCCATCCCCTGGCTCACTCTGCAAGTGGCTGCAACGGCCAGAGCCAAACTGATCCAAAGCCAGGAGCCAGGAGCCACCTCCAGGTCTCCCACCCAGTATAGGATCCCAAGGCTCTGAGCGATACTCCACTGCCTCACAGGACACAAACAGGGAGCTGGATGGGAAGTGCAGCAGCCACAACATGAACCAGCACCCGTATGGGATTCTGGCGCTTGCAAGGCAAGGATTTAACCACTGAGCCGTTGCATCAGACCAGATATGACAGAATTCCACCATTCTTAGGAATGTCCTGAGTCATTCTGTTTGCAGTGGTGGCATTGATAGAATTGCTTCCTTACAGCCAGTGGTCAAGGTCTTTTTTCCAGGAGTAATTGAATGTCACAGATACTTTACCTCTCTGGACAAGATTTGCACTTTAGCAAGGGAAACTCTATTATCCCCCTTCTCCGGGGACATTTGAAACCTTGATAGAGTTGTTACTGAAGTCCTCTTGAGTCAGTCCATTTCAAAGACAAGTAGATATTGGGGTGTTGAATGCCATGACATGCAGAAGGATGCATCGTTTAGAGAGAGAGCTATGAAGCATTTGGTAGTCACAGATATCAGGATGAGGGTAGTGTTAGAGTTAGGAATAAGTGTGCGCTGATCACAGCCTCACTCATTGTTCTTAGATCCCTTATACATCTGCATCCTCCCCCCTTTTTCTTTATGGATGGGATAAGTGAGTTGCAGGGGAATTGGCAAGACTTATTTCAGCATGCTCAGTATGCTTTGCTTTTCTGGGTTTCTTAGTGTCAAAGACTGTGTTAGAGACCCATGCAAAAATATATCCTGGAATAAAGACCCCCCCACACACTTGTATCTCCACATACAAAGAGCAGAAGACTAGCTTCTGTGCTTTTGTTTGTGTCTGCTGGGTACCAAGTTTACTCATAGATCTCACCCTAGGAAGGGTACTACACATTCTGTATTACCAGGAAATCGTGAGAAAATGTCAAATGTCCCATTGGGCAGCATGTATGGGGAGTGATTGTTGTTTCCCGTCTGCTGTACTTCAGGGTCAGAGTGGCTGACCAGGAGAGAGTGACTCCTGTGTCCCTTACTAACTCAGTTGTCCCAAACTGCCACATGGGGGATCACCCGGAGCTGCTTGGCAGAGATGGTCAGGTATTCCTTGGGCGCCATTGGGGATCTTAAGTCTGTTCAGTTCTCAGCAGTC